TTTTTTTTTTTTTTTTCTTACAGCACCAGGACACTGGGGCTGGGCGGGGCAGCCATTGATAGGGCTGGGAGAATGGGTGGGGATTGGGGGAGCAGGCAGGGGATGGGGCCTGGTGGGGGTCCCCCCATGGTCCCCTCCCACCTACTTACCAGGACGGAGTCCAGGACCAGCTCCCTGCGGTGGTGAGTGGGGACTGCCTGAATCTCCAAATATCTGAATCTATTCAGAGGCTTCAGATTGATTTAGACCTTTTATTTTTGGTTTCCTGATTTGATTTGGATTCAGAGATTCGGCTGCTGAATTGGGCCAAATCTCCTCCGAATTGAATCAGCAAACAAAGCTTCGCACAGCCCTACTGTTTTCTCCACAGGATTTCCATTTCATTCAGAGCACTGGATGGACTGCACTATTTAAAAATAAGCAGTTACAGAGTATTTTGCATTTACCCTCATCATTCAGAATGTGCTGCCCCATGCCTTCTTTACTGCACACCATTCTAATCCTGCACTAGAAAAGAATTATTAAAAATGTCCTGCTTGGGCACATGTGGAGTGGGTGGCTCTGGGTTTTTGGTTTGATCTGTTACATTGCTTCTACCACTCCCATTTTTCCATCTCCTGTTGTCATCGTAAGGTTTCAAAGTACTAAGATTCTCGCAGCAAACTGCCTCTATTTGTGGCAATGCTGGGCTATGGTCTCCCATGAGTTTATATCACTGACCCAGCAAAGTTGATGTTGGATGATCATCGCCTCTATGCTCGTGGTGTTTGGTTGCGAGAGGACAGAAACATTGGTGTGTTTGTCTATTCACTGGATTCAAAAGCTCTTCTGCAGGCAGTGTTGATGGTACTTCTGCAGCAACTTGAGGTATCTCCTGTACACTGTCCACATGTCAGCTCTGTGCAGTAAGCCGGGAATCACGACAACTTGATAAGCCATGAACTTGGTTTCCCATCTGCTGTCATGATCTTTGAACACCTGTGTTTCCTCAGGTGTTTGAAGGTGACACTTGTGCTTTTAAAGTGATGGTGTATTTCTTCATCAATGTCAGCCTTTTGCAAGGGCGCACACAGTCTTGCAAGGCCTTAAATGCCTGTACACCAATGCTCGTAGCATGGGGAACAAACTGGAGGAACTCGCCCTCAGAATAGCTAGTTCAAACCCAGATGTCATAGGGCTGACAGAGACGTGGTGGGACTCGTCCCATGACTGGGCAGTTAACATTAGGGGCTATAGGCTGTACAGGCGCGATAGAGAAGGTAGGAAAGGAGGGGGGGTGGCAATCTATGTCAAGGAGCACTACACATCCTCTGCCAGCAGAATGGGGTCAGAGGAAGGGCAAGCTGAAGTGCTCTGGGTCAAGATTCAGGGGGGG